ATAACATAATTCCATATTTCAGCTTAATTGAGGGAAAAATAATGAATTTTAAGGACGAAATTTCACTGTCACGTGTCGTTTACTAAACAAATTTGTGTATATCCGCATTCTGTTACATTCCGTTGCAACGCATTGGTGGTATTAGAGGGAACGCCAAAAGAGCAACATTCAACGTTAATTTCTGCTGTTTTACTTTCACGTGTCGTGTACTGGAGCAAAATGGTCTATTTCCGCATTCCAGGAATAGTTTTATATGGCGCGCCAAAAGAACAACATTCAACGAATACAAGACATTCCCTTATACCAATTAACACTACTGCTGTTTCCTCGCATTTTAGTGTTTTCTAAAGATTCTTTTGTTATGAGAAATGATAAGAAACTGCTTTCAAAACCATGCAACCTATCTTCTTTTAGTAGACATATTGTTTTATTTACTTGTTTTAATCGGAAAAAATTCACGACGTTTACATACTAGAGGGTAAGCGAGCGCACGCAGTGAGCGCACTCTCTCGTTTTCCTTACCACTCCGATTTGCAGTAACACTGAAATATGCACTTGAGTGCATATTTCAGTGTTATATGCACTTGAGTGACAGGCTGAATGTCAGTTGCCAGTTCAGCTACTGCAGGGTTGATCAAGCTTAGAGGTTTTGTGTATTTTTGTATTTGTTATAAGGGCCTTTTGGAGTCAGTCTTACTGTAAGAGCTACCCTCATAAAAGAAAGTTGAATAAATAAATAAATAAATTTGAAAGATTTTTTTTTTCTCCGTTTAAATAAACCAAACTTTTGGTGCGACAATTAATCAAGTAAAGAGCACGTTTTGTATGATGAACCTCAAAGATAACTGTCCCGGAATTATGGTTGTCGCAACAGTTAATTTGCATCTTGAATTTAGAACTTACTGATATATCACGAAGGTTAGGTGGGTGCGATAGCCTAATAACGGTGTATCAGGAGCTAGAGAAAACAGATCTGAGACATCCTGCGGTCTGTAGGGTTATGGAGGAATTAGTTCAGATTGTTCTGAATAATAGCCCGCAGTTATAACCTATGCAGTGGTGGTGCTAACGTTAATTTCATTGCCAATCCGTAATATTGTGGCCTAAAAGCACAATTGTTGGCCATATGCCTACTAAGCCATATAAACCATCATCAAGGCTCTAGTCAGCCTCTTTGTTCGGACCCCACTGTCGGACATTTCAGATCCCTAGTCGGTAAATATTTGGAGCCACCACTGAACTAATAGGGTGATAGATAGTGACCAGTTAGTAATTGTCACTCACCTTTAATATTGACTTCAACAGATACATTTACAATACTTGGCATGATATACTCTTCCTCAGCTTGTGCTACACAGTAATACGTTCCGCTGTCTTCGACCTTTGCGTTCTTTATTATGTGCATTGCTGACAAAGAGGCGTTGTCTGGACTGGTGCTTGTTGTACAGTTTAGTCCATGTCTTAGGCAATAAGTGGAATTAAGACAACTTTCACTACTGTGTTTATCACAGAACCACATTTTCAGTTTGTGGAGATTCTCCTTCTAAAAAAAATGATAAGTAGGCCTATGATACTAATTGTAAAGTAGACGCATTTGATATGTCTGTAAGTGCAATATCTATTACTATATTGGAACCGTCTTTTGCGGAAAAATGGAAAAGAAATTACCACAAATATAACTTCTTTCCATATAACACCAACATTTTCTTCAAACACAAGTAATTACCCCACAATATAACAACAATACCATAAAACATCAACATACTTTGCAGAGGTATCACATAGTTGAATAGTGGTAACATTTTTTCGCCTAACAATGTAATTTTATTCAAAAGTTTTCTCCCTAAACCCATGGACCCTATCAATTAGGGCAAAACATGGGAACTAAATTATATCGTTAATCAAAAAATACTAACTACTGATTTCTTATTTACTTTCAGTGGTATTATAAAATATTATATTGTTTGAAGGTTTGCATGGCGAAGTATAATATATAATTAATGCTTGCGGTACACCACGTAGATAGTTCTGAAAAGAACTGTTGTTGTTGGTTGAGAATATCTCGACGTTTCTGTTGACTTGCTTCAACCGTCTTCAGGAGAATAATATCTGCAGAGATCTCAAACAGGGAAATACTTATATGTTTGAGTGATGAGACTTGCTGCTGATTGGTTGAAAACTAAACAAAGGCTGAGCCTACCAGTGAAAAGCTATACAAAAGCTAAAATTCACGGTCTGAATAGAAGGGCGGGGCGTGGCTAGAAAGCCAAGACAGTGGCATTGTTCTAGCTGGGGGAAGGAAAGCCAAAAACAATGGCATAGTTTCCAGTGTAGAGGGAAAGATTTGGCGGCAAAAATTTGGTTTAGGTCCGGTTAAACATAAATATAAAATATTATTTGTATATTTGCTAGCGTTTTCTATAAATTTTACAATACTCGCAAAGCCAAGGTTTTTTTAATTTGGACTAAATCATAAATCATTTTGTTCTGGTCTTGTGACTAAAACACAAAGTATTGATTAAAGGTTTGCATGGCGAAGAAATGAGCTTTTGTCCTATTGCAGCACATGTTTTACCTCTTTTAATTATGTAGCCGTCCACTACTTTAAGGGATGTGATTGGCTTTGTGTTTTAATATTATATGTTGAAGCTTGCGGTACACCACGTAAGTAGTTCTGAAAAGAACTGTTGTTGTTGAGAAAGTCTCTATCTTCTATAGTCATGCATTCCCACAGTCAACAACACCGTGTACATTGGGACAAAGCCGAACTAATAGCCACTCCAGAAGGACTAGAGAAGCCATCGAAATTGACAAACACAATACTGTACATCAAGACATCGGATTTGTCATTAGCGATATTTGGCTGTCCATGTTTAATCGGACCTAGCGAAGCCCCACCATTTCCCGCCTTCTGGAACTATGCCTTTGTTTTTGGTCTTTCCCGCCCTGGAACCATGCCTTTGTTTGGGCGTTCCCATCCCTTTTGTTTTGTTTTCGTGAACAATGGCTTTTGTTTTAGCCTCTCACTAGCAGTCTTCTCATTGGTCAGTTTATCCATCCAGCCTCTCTACCCAAACATGGAGACTTTCTCAACAACAACAGTTCTTTTCAGAACTACTTAAGTGGTGTACCGCAAGCTTCAACATATATATTAAAACACAAAGCCAATCACATCCCTTAAAGTAGTGGACGGCTACATAATTAAAAGAGGTAAAACATGTGCTACAATAGGACAAAAAGCTCCAAGAATAACAAGACATTGGCGCAGTGTGAGTAGGTGTTGCTTAGTCTGAAAAACCGTCGTCCTCGACTTTACTCTCTTGCAAAAGTATCTACATAACCAATTTCAAATGATTTTTAGCCGATAAACCATTAAAGTTTCAACCTGTCTCTCTTTCGAAACTTACCTGTAATATGACTTTACTGACTTGACATTCAATTATTATGTCTTCTCCGCTGATATGTTCATACTTGCTAGTAGGTGAAACAATTTCAATTTTCAGTGGAAAATCTGTTGGACGATCACGGTGAACCAAGTTTACTTAAATATTGTATGTTTACCGTAAAACCTTATTCTTATTATTTGTTTTTTGGACCACTGAATGTGCTTCTTTTCAAAATGGCCTCTTTCCGAGAGGGGCTTCTTTTAGAGATTACTAGAGGAGGGCTTCTATTCAGGGTCGTGACAAAGTGCGAGTCATGCGAGCCAATGCGCGAGCCATGCGAGTCATACATTTTTAATTCTTTTTTTTTTCACCGTGAAGCTTTGCCTGTGTAGTCCAGTCATGCGCAGTACATAACTTTTTCGAATCGTCGATCCGGAAGTATGCAGCGCTGATAGAGATGTTGTTAAAATACAGATATACAGATACATACATACAGATATATTTATATATATATATGTACTGTATTTATTGATATATCTATTTATATATATATATATATTTATATATATATTATTTTATATATACTGTATATATTTATTTATATATTTTTATATATTTTTATATTTATACATATATATATATTTATTTGTATATTTATTTATATATATAGGCCTATGTATATATTTATTATATATTTATTTATATATTTATTTTTATATACGTATTTGTGTATATATATTTATTTATTTATATATATAATGTATTATTGTTTTATATTACTTTATTATTTTTTATACTGTAATTATTTATATATTTATTCATATATTTATTTATATATTTGTTTGTATATCTTTTGTATATTTATTGATATATTTATTTGTATATGTATTTATATATATTTATATGTTTATATATTTATATATATAATTATTTAAATTTTTTAAATATTTTGTTTGTATATTTATATATATATATATATATTAATATGTTCATATATTTATTTATATATTTATATATATATATATTTGTATATATATATTTATATATATATTAATAAGTTCATATATTTTTTTTATATATTTATTTGTATATATATATATATACATATATATTTATTTATATATACCGTATTATTATATTATATATATACTGTAATTATTCACCCTCCGTACTAATAACAATAGAGACAAAAGAGTGTATTCAGATTACGTGACAGTCCTCAAGGAAAAGTCGTAGCAGAACTCTAGCAAAAGATCGTAAATATACAACTTTACAAGCCCACGTGACCGTTCGTAGACCGCAAGTTTCGATTTTTACCAGGAAGTGTATACTGAGTAAAATCATTCACGCGTTAATTGGAACACTCGCAGAATAACGGCACTCGCATTTTACTCGTGTAACACACGCACAATACACGCGTGTAATGTCGAATGTTCGGTAATCAGTACTGTATATTCATTTATATATTTATTTATATATTTATTTCTATATATATTTATATATATATATTTATATGCATTTATATATTTATTTGTTTATATATTTATTTATATATTAATAAATATATTAATATATATAAATATATATATATATATTTAAATATAAAAAATATATAAAAAATATATGAACATATTAATATATATATAAATATATATGTATATAAATAAATACACAAATAAATATACAAACAATATATATAAAAATTAAATAATTATATAAATAAATATATAAACATAAATATATAAATACATATAA